AAGGTGCGTTCGGGGAGTGCGCTTTCAGCGCTAAAAGCGTCTTCTATCTTTGTTCGACGTACAGTGAGTGACGAAGATAGACTGACGTTTTCAGCGCTAATAGCGTCTCCCCGAACGCAGCCTTAGTCGCTTATACTTGGCGCGAGACACTACCGTGTCTCGTGATGCGAAGCTCGTACTACAGCTCTTTATGAGGAAATTTGGTCAAAAGTAATAGAATTTGTTCCTAATCTTCTTGTAAGCATAAAATTCATTATGACAGATTATGAATGTGCAGCAATAAATGCAATGGAAAAATTTTTTCCAAATGCTACTATACATGGGTGCTGGTTTCATCTAAACCAAGTATATAATTTACAATCTTATTTTATTTGCGATCAATAATTATAAATTGCATTATTGGAACAATTATTAATGTAAAAATAAAAATAATTAAATTTTTTATTGTAGGCTTTGCAAAGAAAATGGAATAATTTAGGCTTACGTAATTCTTCGAGTACCATTTTGTCTATGGCAATGACAATACCATTGCTACCAGAGCAATATTTTACACAAGCTTATCATATATTATGCAATACCTGTGAAGAAGAAAACCCTGACTGTGAAAAATTAAAGGAATTCTTAACTTATTTTGAAAAGATTTGGTTACCCAAAGCTTCGATAGTAAGTGTGTACAAGTGTCCAGTTAGGACAAACAATGCCGTTGAAAGTTTCCATAATGTGATAAGTAGAAAATTGGGTGGCTGTCATCCAAATTTATGGATATTTTTAGGTAAATTACAAATAAATCATATACTACATTAATATTTTTTTATAAAATAATGGAAAGGAAAAGAAATTAATAATTATTGATAGTCAAAACACTCAGTTAAAGGCTACATTAATTTATATTAACATATTAACCATCTTTTCTTAATAAAATAAAAAGAAAAATAATAAACATTAATACTAATTGTAAGATACAAGTGTTTAGTTTTATTGAACTAATTTTAATCGTTAAATAATTTTAGAAAAATTAAAAGGTGTCATAATGGATCAAACAATTGATTTGGAACGTTTAAAGATTAATAAAGAGGTACGATCTGTACGATCACGAAAGAGCACGGAAAGAGATAAAAAAATTCTTCGATGTCAGACAGATCTGATTTCCGAGAGGTACAATTGCATTTACTTTCTTGTGTATACATATATCATTTTAGGCTAATATTAATATTGCACAATATTTTATAGATTACCTCTTCAACAATTTCTTCGCATGTTTATTGGCAATTTTGATGATTATTTCTACAAAGAGAGTCTTCCTGTTCAAGGTAAGTAGAAATAAAAAATATAATTATAGCAATTATATGCATATTCAAGTCTGAACAAAAACTTAATCTGCAGTATTCGAAGATACTTTAGGTGAATCATCGGCAATCAATGAAACAGATTCCACACAATGTCAAAACACGGAAACGGAAAGGATTTGTTGTACTCCAGATATATTATTAGAACCCAAGATAAAATTACAAAGGCTTTCGCAGAAAGATATTGTAAAGTTAAAAAATCGCCAAGTACTTAAATCAATCGAAAATTCTGACATAAAGTGTAAGATTAATGTATAACATGTACTTCGCATGATATAGTGTCATAAATTCTGTCCTCAAGAAAAATGGATTTGTATCATACTAAAATAAACAGCATTCAACTAAAATAAATAGCAGCATAAAATATATACCTATTTTATTGAATTGATTACATATAACATAAAAGTAATTGTAGCTATTAAAAATGTTTACTTTTTGTCTTCACAAATTTTGGTATACGATCAGGCTTCAAATCGCGTAGCCCACAAAACCCCATTGACACTGTCTTCACCAAATCAATGATATTTTGATGAGATTTTCAATAAACCTTTTCTTCTAAAATTTAGATAAAAGAACATGTTCGAAGCTTTACACCGAAATATCAAGGTTCTCAAGCGTGGTCTACAATGGCAGTAGGAGTACTGGATGAAAGAAGTAGGCGTTAGACATAGGCTGTAGGATTAAAGTCCCTTTACGCCCGAGTGTCTACAATGGCGTAGAGTAAGGATTATTAACGAAATGGAATTGAACCATTTTGCTTACAACCTTACTCTACACCTATTATATAGGAAACACGGGCTTACTCCGACGTCTTACAGCCTTAATCCACTACTCCTACTGCCATTGAAGACCACGCTTCAAAGATTGATCTGATGAAGGCAGCAGCATCGAGATTTTGCATGCTTCGAGAGTTCGAAGGATCCATTGTTTAAAGAAATTTGCAATGTCAAAATGTGAACATTTTTAATAGCTACAAATATTTTTATATTATGAGTGATTAATTCAATAAAATAGGTATACATTTTATACTGCTGTTTATTTTAATTATGTAATAAATCCGTCCTTCTTAAAGACAGAATTTATGGCACGACTAAATACTTCTCACTATCTATGTATATAAAAAACGAAAATTATTTTATCTCCATAGCACAAGAATCAAAGAAACAACGATCCAAACGTAAAAGCTTTTCAATCCGTCAAGCAATGAATAGAAAAGCTAAATTGAGAGTCAAAATTTTGGGAGACGAACACTAGTATATAGAACGAATAAAATGCAGTTTACCGTTAGTTTAGATTAATTAATAAATTCGCAATTGTCTTAAAAAAACGTATATTAATCTTAAATAGCAAGTCACACAAAAGTAATATTTATATTTTATTTCAGATCCCGTCGTAAATACAATTCTAAGCATTCCGAACATTGGCGCAAGAATACGATGAACGTTCCAAGAAATTCTGGAAATGAAAGATTTCGAAGAAATTTGGGTTACGTATGTTTAAATTCGAAAGCAAATCAAATAATCATACCGTGCGGTCATATGTGTATGTGTGCCGCTTGTGTTGATACTCTTGCAACAAATGCATACGATAAGAAATGTCCACTTTGCAAAGGACAAATGGAAAATATTATTCGAGTCATTCCGTCATAAACTTAAACACCCTTTTAATTTACTTCAGAGTTAGACTAGTTGCGTGCATTTCTCTTCAGGATAAAAACATTTTTATTTTGTTATACAATTTTCATTTTCTCATACAGAAGAGTTATACAATTTTCATTTTCTCATACAGAAGAGAAGTAATGATATGCATATACAAAATATAGCATCTTACATATTCTTATTTAGGAGATTGACTTCTGTGTTCACTTTTTGCGATATATTACAATGTATATTTAAACAAGATAAATTGTACGGTTAAAAAAGGATGATTTTCACCACGACCAATTATTTTATGCATGTAAATCCAGTTCAACCTAAATATTCTATTATATAAGCAACTGTAACAATATACATGTAATATTAGATAAATATGGTTACAAGTTATTTACAAGTTCTCATACATCTCTCTCTCTACACTCTTGCTAGCACAGTCGCTAAGTATATATTTCAATCGCTTTTAATTTCTTAAAATCAAACGGTACAAGTTACAACAATGAAACTTAGTACTGATATACAGAATTACAAGCCGAACCTGGAAATATAAGATATTGCAATGAAATACAATTAATTACAAGTTCCATACTTACGGCTATATGTATAAATAGCATATTATGATCGAAATTAAATTCTTAAAAATAAACTATACAAGCTACCGCAATGAAACTCAGTATTCATATATAGAATTACAAACAGAACTTGGAAATATAAAGGTTTCCGATGAATTATGGATAGTTACAAACTTCACTCTTACACCCCTAGTCGCTAATGACATATTATTTCAGCTTTTGAGTTCCTAAAACTAAACTACCGCAGTTATCGGAACGAAACTCGGTACGCATATATAATTTCACATTCTAACCCTGAAAATATAAAAGATTATTAAGATATACAAGAGATTATAAATTTCATTCTTACACTACAGCCTTATAATGCTAATAAAAGTCGCAAATTCCTTATGAAACGCTAACTCCTCATATTAGAACGACGAAAATTGGTACGAATATACAGAATAACAACACAATACAAGAAATATAAAGAATTACAAACGACGCACACACCATTCAAAGTTTAACACTTGAGACTCATAGCAAGTTTCATAAAATTCGATCTTGTCGGCCTTATAACTCAAGAACCGATCAAGATCCAGCATTCTCGCGTTGCAACTTAATGTAATATTACAAATACTTGAAAACAAGCCACTTCGTAACGTTAGAACACCGTTATTTGCAAATTTCACTTTTCAGGTGATGCGCCTGAAATGCAAAATTCACAAATATTACAAAATTACTTAAATTAGTGCACTCAACCATACAAATTCACACTTTATAATATATTCCCGCGATAACAAAAGAGATTTTACAATCGTTTACGCAAATTTTCATTCATATCTTGCCAATTCGCAAGATATCACACTATGTCGCTCCGCTGCGGCAACTCAATCGCTCACATACATCTCATACATAAACATACATATGAAATCTCTTTCATACAGCAGTTCTGGTACAGAATCGCACCCCAGATCTGCTCGTACATTCAGACTGTATTCTTTCATTCATGAATTACATAAAATTCACATTCACACTCATGACACATAACATGGTACATAACCCCACCTGTCACAATCATACATGCATGCTTACACAATAAACGCTTAATTCTAAACTTAAAATTAACACTCTCGCACATCCGTCGCACTTCACTAAACGCACGGAACACTAATGAATCACTCACTAACACTTTTTCTTGAATTAAACCCTCTTCTCCCGCAAAATAAGTCCTGGAGATCCACGTAGTCTCCGCTACTCTAGATATCCCTCTGAAATTGAAACCTGTAACAGAAAAAGGATTACACAAGCAAATCTCTCTGTAACAATAAATGAATAATTAATATATATATCTGGTGACCCGTAAAAAGGGGTACTTATCTGATTTCACGTTCTCCGAACGTTTCTTCTTCTGCGCTCCTCTGGTGCGTCGAGTTCGGCTGGGCATCCTGCACTGTTCCTGGCGTCGGTCGTCCTGGTCGTCCCTCGGGAATGTTCGCTGCACCTGAAACAGTCGAATAAAATTAGAATAAAAATATATTAAAGATGTCAAACCTGAAAGGAAAAGAATGTTAAATATAGAGAACTTAGACCTGAAAAAAAAAGATATTATTAAAGAAACCCTTGCCATCCTTGGCCCTGTAACAAAGAAATCAATTAATTCATATATCTATTAACATACTACCACTAATACTAAATAATAATATCTAATAACAAAGATGCACACTTACCAATGTACAAATGCTGTATGCGCTGCTCAGGTATGGAGCGCGGTACGCTCACAAGGCTCGAAGCAGCCCTCTGCCAGTTGGACCTGCTAGGAGAAGCGCTTTTCGAGGGCGAGTCTCGCTGTCCTCCAGGCCACTGCACCTGAAACATAAGAAAGCAAAAGAGAATTAAGATAAATACAAGGGCCGGTCCAGGCCGATCGCTGAAAATAAGATTGGAGACACCCGCCGCCGAAATTACAGTTACACATCGACGGACGCGTGCCCAAGAAAATAATAAAAATAAAAACTTACCTATGAAGAAGCCTAACCCTCAGAATATTCCTGCTCCTCCACTCCAGGTCGAGGCCATCACCCTCGACTGAAACAAAAAGAAAAACATTAATAAATATACAAATATAATAAGACACACATATTTACAAAATGACTTTCACTATTATAGACAAATATATAAATAAATATTGAATTTACCTCGTATACTCCTCCACCTGTCAAATCCCAAGGGGATCATAACCCCGCAGGTGCTACTATACGATATCGAACATTATCTATAGCTGAACATATTGTACTTTTGTAAAATACTTTCAGCTATATGTCTATTATGTAAAGTTCAATTGAGACTTAGGCTGATGGCAGAGAACAATTCGTAAACGCTTAAGACTGTCTCAGTCGTAGACGTAGGGCAAAGCAGAGAGAAACGTAAGTCGTATACAATAGCCTTTCACTATACTTACGTTTAGACCAATATTCACAGTCTATCCTTATCTCAAAATTATTTCTTAAGTAATGTCTTACGATGCAAATACGGCTCTGCGATTTGCTTACCACATCTTAAGACTGTACTTAAGACATCTCAAATATAAGAACAAACTATGACACTAAATATTTTCGACAAGGGCTGTGTCCGATCGGGCCTGTGTCCAATCGGGCCTGTGTGCAATCGGGCCTGTGTGCAATCGGGCCTGTGTGCAATCGCGCCTGTGTGCAATCGGGCCTGTGTGCAATCGGGCCTGTGTCCGATGGAGCCTGTGTCCGATAGAATCTGTGTCCGATTGCAACCATATGTGTCCGATGTAAAATGTGTCCGATCGAGACTGTGTCCGATCGGGACTGTGTCCGATCGGGACTGTGTCCGATCGGGGATGTGTCCGATCGGGTCTGTGTCCGATCGAGTCCGTGTCCGATCGGGCCTGTGTCCGATCGGACCTGTGTCCGATCGAGCCTGTGTCCGATCGGGACTGTGTCCGATAGAATCTGTGTCCGATTGCAACCATATGTGTCCGATACAAAATGTGTCCGATCGGGACTGTGTCCGATAGGAACGGTGTCTGATCGGGACTGTGTCCGATCGGGAAATATTGCCGTGTCCGATCGGTTATGTGCGCAATCGGGACTCACTCGTACATTTGATGATATGTACAACTTCTCCCGAAATCACTGCCATAAATCCTGGTCCTTTCATAATTTGATAGGCAAAGTCATCAGGTGCGTGAATTGCAAGGCTGAGTGCGTTCTTCATTACTCTTCGTTCCAAATTGCAGCGTTGTTTGAGTACATCTGTGTATAGGTGATTTATCTGTGTGCGTATGTGTTTTTCAACATAAACGAATTTTGAGTTCACGTATGCAAAAATATCTAAATTTTCTACTGAAATTTTTCGTTTTTTGTTTAAAGATTCTCCGCTTTTAATTTCTAGAATTACTAGTTTAGGATGTTCTGTTTTAATTAAGGTATATCCACAAAGAAGCTCTTCACCTGTTTGTGATAAAGCGAAAGTTACGTCCTGAGTTGACAAGGAATAAATAATTTGTAATTTTTCATTAATTTCACTGACCATCTTATTTGCTTTTCCTTCATACAAAATATCATAATGGTTAAATTTGCAATGATCATTAGGTATTGTTTCCCAAAATGTATATCTTCCTTCGATATCTATGCAATTTTCATCTGAATATTGACAAATAGTTCCTGTTTTTAAATTTATTTTATTTGTTTCAATGTTAATGGTTGCTTCATAAGAATTTAGACTTATTGTAATTATTCCTTGCACAACTACATTTTGCCAAGTCCCATATGGGTCCGAATATTGAGTTCCGATACATTGTCCATCTGTTGTTACAGATCCTGCTAAAGTTATTGGTCGTGATGTTGTATAATTTGTTTTTAATCCGTTTATGATACTGTTAATATTTAAAACTAGACTTCCTGACTTATGCATATTCTTACATTGATCTAAAGTTGTATCAAGTATATATTCTGCTTGCGCATTTGTTACGGTTGAAATATGCGAATGCATTCCGCAATAATAAATTGTTCTAGCAACAGAAATTTTACA